TTACCAACCCACTTCTTGGACAGCATTATTTTATAAAGCTAGGAACTGTAGAGTTAACAGGTTTTACAGAATCATAGAATGGTTTGGGTTGGAAGGAACCTTCGAGATCACCTAGTTCCAGCCCCCCTGCCATGGGCAGGGACACCTCCCACTAGACCAGCAGGGACACCTCCCACTAGACCAGGTTGCTCAAAGCCCCATCCAGCCTGGCCTTGAACACCTCCAGGGATGGGGAATCCAGAGCTTCCCTGGGCAACCTGTTCCAGTGCCTCACCACCCTCACAGTAAATAATTTATTTCTAATATCTAATCTAAATCTGCTCTCTTCCAATTTAAATCCATTACCCCTAGTCCTGTCGCTGCATGCCCTTTTAAAAAGCCCCTCTCCATCTCTCCTGTAGCCCCCTTCAGGTACTGGAAGGCTGCTGTAGTGTCCTCCCAGAGCCTTCTCTTCTCCAGGTTGAACAACCCCAACTCTCTCAGCCTGTCCTCATAGGGGAAGTGCTCCAGCCCTCTGATCATCTTTGTGTCCCTCCTCTGGACCTGCTCCAACAGCTCAACATCCTCTTGCATTGGGGGGCCCCGAGCTGGATGCAGTGGGGGTCTCACCGCACTTCTCTTGATGCAGCCCAGGATCCGGTTGGCCTTCTGTGCTTAAAAATACATGGGTTTAATCTTATTCCATTAAAGGTACACCCACAGCCATAAGTTTGCTCTCAGCAGTAAAAAGGTCAGGACAAGTCCCAGTATCTTACTTCCCCCCACCATCTGTTCTGTGCTCTTAGGATCTCCAAGGTCAAGTCGCCTTTAGGGATTCAAATCAGAGGTAAGATGGGGATGACATTTCTAAATCTTTGTTACACAGGCACAGAATTTATTAGTTTTGGATACAAGGAGCTTCGTTTTCAGTATGAATGAACACAGAGCCAAAAAAAATCATGTTACCTGGTATGTTAAGTGGACTGCACCAGCCAGAGCCCTAGTTGTAAGAGCCAGCATTGCCAAGGGCTGAATAAAGGGATTTTAGACTGTGCTGGATCTCAGATTCAAGAAGGCAAGGTTTTTAAGTGCAAAGAACTTTTTCTTTTTTTACCTTACAAGTAAATACAAAAAGTAACAGAAAATGTTCCATTCCTGGCTCTGATAAACTTCTGGCTGACTTTAAGGGTCCGTTCAGTCAACTCGGAATACTCCTGAGAATAGTTATTAAAACAAACAAAACTGTGGCTAAGGGTTAGTCCTGTCAAACCCCCCTTGTCTATGCCCCACAGCACAAAGCCCCAGAGTCCCTGATGGCAGAACCAGTGCTGTTCCCACTGGCAGCACGACGCAGAGAAACCACACCACAAGTCATAATATGCCCTTGGCTCTCTCTACAAACACAGCACCACTAGTTTTGATGGGTTAAATGCATCAGAAAGAGGACTAGCGGTTTAAAAATAGGCCAGTCCATTTTTTCCAACATGTGATAGGAACACGTCATTTCTACCACAGCCTGAGCTTGTAAAGGCTGTCACCAGCTGGCCTTCTCCTCGGTCTGAAAGAGAGCATTTTCCTCCTCTCACAAACACAGCCCATCCCTACCATAACTCGGGCTGTGCATACGGAATTTATGCCAGGCAGCCACAAACACCCCTAAAGACAGCCCTGACTGTGGTAATCTTCAGGCTGCCTGATTTGTTTCACTAGATTCCTTCATGAGAACTCTACGGCCAACCACCACGAATAAACAACAGCTGGTACAGAGAGCACTTGCCGAACTCAACAACTGGGATGCTTTTCATGGTTTTCTGAGATGCCTTAGCTTATGAAAGTAGGTTCCCGTTTTCAACAGGGCAGAAAGGATATAGGAGGCAACTCAGGAGAGTACCACGAGGAAAGAGGCCACAAGCTTTCCCTGTAAGTGTTAATATACCCACAAAAGCATCTTCAAAGCTACGAAAGAGGCTACCATGTTATTTCATTATCTGAAACTTTTACACACTTAGGCTCAGAGGTGGAGCAAAATGCTAAAGGAACCCTTAATTACCCCTTTAGAAGACATTCTCATTTCATCCCACCAGAACATGCAAAGTGACTTCCTTCCACCGCAACGTAAAGGGATAAGAAAAAAAGCTGGGGCAGCATCACAAGCCAGAACCCTGCACCACTAAGGAAGATGTGCTGGAATGTAGGGTCTGGCTCACAAAACCTTAGAGGTGATTTCTTCCTGTCTCCCTTACAGGAAGGGTTCCTGTAACATCTTGTGAGGAGCTGCACAGATCCTTCATCTACTGGTTAAGTAGATGTTAGCATCACCTTCGGAAGGCAAAACAAACAGAAATAGACTGAACTTCAGCAGCAAACTACCTAGGACTGATCTACTCCCTCCCTGAATGGCTCGGGGTGGGGAAAAAAAAAGGTGTTCCAGATGTATACGTATTGAAAAAGCTACTATGTCATCCTTTCATCAAATTTAGCACATATTTACTCTGAGGTTCTCCGAAATTTATGCTCCTCCCCAGCAAATCTTTGCCCCTGTGCCCCCTGCATATGCTGACAATTCTTCTGTCCCTCCTCCCCCATTTTTGTCCCCTCTGAGCTTGTTTTGGAGTGGCAAAAGTCAGGAAAAGGCACATACAGCAGTTGTTTAGGTTTACAGTTCTGAACAAGAGTTAAAATGGCATGGTTGCTCTTTTGTCTCTTTAAAACTCAGACAGGAAAAGTACCTTTCTGGTGAGTTTTTCTCTGACAGAGCAACCAAAGTGTCAGAGAAGCTGGAGAGCTCCCAGCAAGCCAACCTAGTCATATACTTCTGTTTCATTGTAAACACTTGATTTGTGTTTGCCAAAATCCAGGAACACCAACTATGCTGCTTACTGGCCTACAGAAATGTACCATGATCACTTGCCACTGACACTCTCTCCAGGAAGGAAAACATGTTTTATTCAGTTGTTAATATCATATCATTAGGGAGACCTCAACTGGAAATCTGCTTCTTGTTAACTCATTTTCCATAAGCTTCAGCAAGTTTTAAAAACCAAAAAACTTCAAACAATACAACCTGTACACAAGAAAACTCACTAGCCTACAACAAAGCTGTCATGGAAAAGATGTCTCATGTCATAAATTAAACAAAATTCCCCCTTCTTAGTACCATAACTGTAAAACCACAGGTAAATATCTATGGATTGCAAACATACGTAAGAATCAGATTGCTCCCTCTGTTCCTTCACTTAAGAAGCACATTCCTGTGGTTCCTAAGAGAGTTTCTATACACAGCTGTATTCTATAGACTTGTCCTGTACTTTCATTAAAACAATAAACTCATGGCAAGCCTATTGCTAATACAAGAGGAAAGCTCAGATGTTCCATTTTCCAAAATACAGAAAGACAGAAATGGTTCCTGCAGCACTCTACTGCAGGATCTTTGATTATTTAAGTGTTTAATATGCAGCAGATTCCTTGCATCCACCTCCAAAAAGTTCCTATCTATAGAAGACAGCACTTAAGCAAACATAAGCTTATTTATTTAGCCTTGAATTCAGCACAGCAACAGCATTTTCACACTGCTTCATCCACAACTTCGTTACAGGACCAGTTTCCCATTTTACATACTATTTGATAAAACAGGGATAACTTTAATTCACCTCAGCAGAGCACAATTATAAAGTTCAAGGTCCCACAAGACCTTCCTGATTGCAAGCCCAGTCCCAGAAAAGGCTGGGGCAGCCAGTACTGTCATTGCTCCAGACCCCTGATCCTCCTTCCAGCATGGATCAGCCCTGACAGCCACGCTGACAGAGTTCTTCTGATTTTAATAGAAGTACATGCGGTGTTCTACAAGCCCTCACTACTAGAGTCTCCACTTCTAATTACAAAACACCCTTCTGTAACTGCAGAAAAGCCCTTGAAATCACAAAGCAGATATACTGTAGAGGCTTTATCTAGAAAGCAGTAAAAAGCACAAAGTATAGTAACACTCAAATGTGTATGATTTTTAAGTCTATTTAATATTTTGGAGTGGTTTCACCTCTTCTATTTTTCCCCAAATTTTAAAAACAATATTAAATTGCCATGTCCAGAAGAAGTTTGCAGGAAAAGGGAAGGACTTGAGCCAAAACAAGACAAACTTAAGGAAACAAAAAACAAAGCAAAACAAAGTTTCCATAGTATCTCTTTTCAACTTGTCTGAAAGCTGTTTAAAAGTATCTAAGAGGGTCATTGATGCTCCAAGGTTTTCAAATCTCACTTTAAGCTACAAGTGACCACCCAGTACTTAAAGAAAAGTAACTTTCCCT